GTAAAAATAATAAAATTATTATTCCCTTTTCTGGTAATTAAATATACCTTGACATATTTCCCATCATCATCCATCGTTATTTATTTATTTATATAATATATTTATTGTACAACATATATTATAAACAATAAGGAAAGAAGGAAAAGATAGTTTAAGAGAAGGGGAAGGGAAAAATAGTATACTTTAAAATTATATAATAATAAAGACACTTATTTTTAAAAATGAGTATTTATTGGTTTCAATTTATTATATAAGTATAAAGGATTATAAAAAAACCAATACCTTAATAGTAAAAGGTATTATTATTATTTTCTTCATTTTTGTTAATGTATTTTAAGTGCAAGTTCAACCTCACAATTTTTTATTTGGGAGCGCTTTTTATAATATTTCATCACTATCTTTTCTTTAGGGTAGCGATTAGTGAACTGGATTAGAGTCGAGGCAGCTCGGTCCTAAGCGTGCCAGGCCGGAAAATTGTTTAAATATTATTTTTATAGGGTAGGGCCGAAGTTTTGAAAATGTTTATTTCAAAGCTGATAATTAGGCAAATTTGTTTTCCTTCATAAATAATTACGGGCCGAAACGGGTAAAAATTTCAGGGGCCGGTTAGGCCGCGAATAATACATTTACATAACAGCGGTTAATTTTAGTAAAGAATGATGTATAGGATGTGTCAGCTAGGAGCTGCATATACTACCCGTAGTAAGTAATAAAATAGTATGATTTTAAAAAATACCGATCAGTTCCGATACGGGTCGATCTTTATTTAAAATTATGTAAAGTAATCTTTTAAACATCATAATTTGGAACTTGCACTTATAAAAGATTCTGATTGGTTTCTAAAATTTTGAGATTTTTTTAAATTTGGCGCGACTCCGGCAAGTCCCGATAACTTAAACAATAAATAACCTAATGTATAAAGCAACCATCTTAAGTGGTTTAGGAATCTTTAAGCTTTCAGTTATTATAATAAGCGTGAATGCTAAAGGCCTAGGATATGTACCTTATTTTTAAATAATACAAGATATGTTTTTTAATATCAATATCATCCTTTCCCATCTATTTTTTAGGACACATAAAGCAAATTCCAGAGTAAAATTTTCTCAACATACAGCGAAATCCACATAAAATATAAGGGATCATAATATTTAATTCTTACCATTCTCCAGATTTCAATTTTATTGAATGAAACCCTAAGAGATTATAAAGTGAGGATGTGGAACAGAGGATTCTTTAAAGAATAAATTCGTTTTATATGGAAAATCCAAAATATGTGACAGAATCTTATTAATTCAATGGCATAATTAATAGCCGTAATTAAGGCAAAAGGTAGAGATAACACAATTTTAAATAATTCTAGCATAATAAGTCTATAATCTAATATATATAATCTCCATAATCAAAACACGATAGTTTTCGTATCTCCCTAATGTATTAAAAATTTAAGGAGACTAATGTAATGTTAATTTTTTGCTATCTACGAGAGTCGAACCACAAACCTCCCGTTTCAAAGGCGTATGCTTTACGCATGCATCAACTTGAGTATAATTAAATTTTAAATATTAATTATATATTAATTAATAGCTGATATTTTTAAAATTTTGCCGTTTATTACCATAACCTGACGGTGTTGAAGGGTAATTATTTAGTTTGTGTGTATGGTACAAAATATATTTTATTAATAAATTTTATAAAAATATTAAAATTTAGGAGAAAAAGAGGTAAAATTGTTGCAAATACAGTGAGCATTAAGAGTATTAGAAATATCAAATTTAAATTTGTGATGGAAATCATATTGGATAAAATTTAAAATATAGATGCTTGAATCAGACATAGCTAGGCCTGATCAAAAAACCAAGGCCCATGCAACTTTCATATTCTGATTGTATTTTTAAATGAATTATGACTTTTACATATTTTATTTCAGTTCTTAACTACCAAAATTATTATATGATTATGAGCTTGAACCTGTTGGGAATTTTTTTATATTAGATATTAGGCATCATTTTTATATGTGTCTCAAAAAGTTAATTTAAATATATTTTTATTGAAAAAATAGTATTCACTATTAGTCCTAATCATTTGGTCTTGGTCTGAAACAGGATTGAGCGGGATTAAAAAGAATAAAAAATGAATATGGTGTTTAGAGATTTACCTATCTCCAGGTTTGAGAAAAAATTTTTAAAATTATTATGGGTGGGGCTGTTGGAAAATATTTCTATGAATTATATTGGACTGGGCTTAGGAAAAATTTTTCAAAATTATTAACTGCTTAGACGCTTAGGAATTCTATTATCAACTATGGATCATATATTAACCTAAAACAAATTTTTTTGCAGGCCTGGGGACCTGGCCTAAAGAGGGGGGGGGGGGGTTATAAAGAATAAAAAGATATTTTTTCAAATACAACTAACATAAAAGTAGGGAGAAAAACTATCCCAAATCATGAAAGTTCTTTGGAAGTTACAGTGGTTGTGCCAGTGAATGAAGCAAATACAAACACAAATACCACATTACGTTGTTCATCAAGAAACCGTAAACTTACAAAGAGGTTTATTGAAGAAATCTAACTTTAAAATGTTTGAAGGAAATGTAATAAATTAGTAAAATATTATATATAGATATTATATATAAAAATAGAATAGAATATTCGAAAATTAATTAATATAAATTTGATGTTAGAAATAAATTGAAATATAAATTAGTAGTTGTATTGTTTATAATTAGTAGTCGGTATTACTACAAACCCCGTTATTATTGACGGGTTATTGTTAAAGTATATATATCTTAAACTAAATCACATATATTTTAATAATTTAAACTAATTTCTGACAGATACCTGAAAATTTTAAAATGGGTTCAGGTTAAAATAAAACTATTTTTAAACAAGTATTTCATGTTCTTGTAAACTCCTCTGTTTAACATTAATTAGCCGCTCATATTTATCGATTTTCCTTTACCCCGCATTTACAGTTAGCGCGAATTCTAGGCGGAGAATACAAAAATACAGCGTAATTTGTACAATGCCGCGAATCGCGTTAACATGAGAGTTTAAAAATAAAGAGCCAAAATTATTTAAGCAAAAAATAAACAAAAATTTTGACTTATCTTAAAAAAAATCAAATCCGTGAGGGGACTAAAAAATTGATCGGCCCTTGATGATACTTGACACATTTGAAAAGTTATTTCACAAGGTAAAATGTCACTATATTCCGATATTCACTAATATCAATTTCACCTAATATAGACCGATTTGATCGAACTCGTGTTGGACGGAGGGACCTTACGCTTTTGTTGAAATATCGTCAATTTTTCAACAGTTAATCAAAATATAGGATTGGATAAGTGGGAGAAAATTTTTAAATAATTTATTTTCTTCGAGTCAGATAGGACCTGAAAAACAAGGTCAAATGCTAAGTTATGTTGTTTGTAACATTGTAATGATCCCAGAAAAAGAAAGAATGGAATTAGTAAACGATAATATAAAAATGTCAGTTTTAAAAATTTTAATGTCGAATAATTTTTTACATATAATACTACGGTATAAATGTAATATTATATTTTGTTTATTTTAATCGCTGCAAGTGTTTACATTAATAAGTGGGTTGAGCTAATATTTTACTTACCAGTAAAACGGGCTTTGAAAAAAATAATAAAATTTTAAAATTTACGTCAAATTTTTGACATTCATGGGCGCTCGAATTAGACAAGTTGCGCTGTTAAACTTAATAAAATGTCTGTCTTGTCTAGCAATGTTTTAAAAAAAAGGAAAAATAAATATAGTTCATTTCGTCATAAATAAATAAGATTTGAAAAAGGGTGATATATATTTTATTTTAATTATTAAAAAAAAATAATACAATTGAAATAAATAATACAAATTTTCAGTTTATTTTTTTTTAAATCGGCTCTTATTTTAAAAAAGGCTTAAATTTTTGGGTTATTTATAGTTTTTTAAAAAATATAATTAGCCTTAAAAGATAAAAAAAATATAAATTCTTTCCATTAAGTCAATAGAGTGTTGATAAATGGCTCCCAATCAATATTTTAGCCAAATAATATTACGTAAGCTACATATTTTCTCATAGTGGCAGAAAGGTTTGGACCTCCATTTGCCAAATCTTGAGGCTCACATTTAGCTAAAACCTTAATCAGGCCTTTTCTAAAAATCAACCTAAATCAAGCTGTTTAAAACACTAGTAAAATATCTCCAATTTATAGTAACCCTCTGTGTTTTCCTTATTTTAATGAAAATTATGCTCTTGGTGAAGAATTAGAAAAAAAAGTAAAACTGGTCAAGCCTACATCTGGTTAGTAGCAGTTACTCACTTTAAAGCTGCAGATTAAAATCCAATGAGTTATGGAAAAAGAGTTAGTAAAATATATGGCCAATTAGTACAATAAACTATATTATAATTAGTGTTATCAAAGGTAAATTTCTGTGAAAAAATAAAGTAAAACCTGTTATATTATTTGAAAAGTAATGAGAAATGGTTACTTTTAAAATAATATATATGTCTCATTTCTTATCTTTACATGATAATTTGCCATATTAAAAATGATTGTTCAAATAAGACTAGTGTAAAATGGTTGAGGAAGCTTATATTTTGGAGAAAATCAAGTATGTCTTTTAGGTACAAATTTTGAAAATAGTGTATAATTTTAATTACAACTTATATTAACACTAATTAAAATGTATTAAAGAATTTTGTATTTATTCTGTGAAATTAAAAGAAAATTATTGAATTTTTTAGTATAAACTAGAAAGAATTTAAGTAAATTATTTTTAGTTTCAATGAAATTCTGTATATACATTGATTGAGGATTAATCTAAATGGATGTTGTGTAACTTTTTAAAAAACTTAAATTATTCTAAGCTATGTGTTTGAAAAATTTGTGAATGGTTTTCTAATTTGCCTCTGTAGTCATATATTAAAAAAAAATTAAGAAACTCATGAAAACCCAACTAGACAAAATTTATAAAAAAAATATTTTTATACTTGATTTTGATTGTTGGTCTGTGAATTGGAATTATTAGTGCCAACTTTTTTGGCATCAGCCGCATTGTTTTCGAGATAAACTTGGTAGAGCCTGACATTTTCTGTCCTGCTTTTGAGGTTGGAATCTTCTAGAAATGTTTCCTGTCTAATGGCACATTCCTCATGCCGTCTCCTGAATTCATCCATCCTTCTCACCGATTGATCCTGATTGAAGGATGTATGCCTTCTGTCTATCCCACTATTGTCAATGTTCAATAAGGGGTCCCAATTATTTAAGCTATTCTTATCAAATAGATGATTGGGGATATTGTTGCTAAAATGATCAAAATTGTTTAAATTTGTTGTCAGATTATTCAGTGTGTTTGAATGTTTATAAATAATGGTTGAGGGTTCAGATGATAAAATATACTGAGGATAATTTTTAGAGAAGCCATCTATATTTATAACATTGCAAAAATTTGTATTATTATCCAATAAGTTTTTCTTGTTATCTTGATTGTAATTATTATTGATTAGCATCAATCTTGCACATTATAATTCTTTGGATTTTATGAAGAAAGTTATTAAGGAGGTAATTTACAAAGTTATTTGTTCACTAAAGAGCAAAAGGGAATGAATAAGAATACATATTATTGGATGAGCTCTACATTGATTGTAAAAATTATTGATATAATATCTTTTCATAATGTGAATGAAGTGTGTGTTCAATAATAATAAATTTAACATATCTACAGCTACCTAAAAATAATAAATCATTTAAAAAACCATTTAATAAAAAAAATTATTTAAATATAAAAATGTATAGATAGCTAATTGAAACTGGTTAAATAATTTGGATATTGGAAAAAAAATATAATAAAATCTTAATATTACTTTATGTTAGGAAGATTCTGAACATTGTATTTATAGAAAAATTTGCATATAGCCATCTTTCTAAATAATTACATTTATTGGATAATAAGATTAATATATTCAAATTGTTAATATATATAAACAAAAAATAATTTCAAATTTACCAAAAATAATATTATTTAAATTCAGACATCAATCCGAAAATTAACTTCAAGAGGACGTCATGTAAAAAATAAAAAATTTACTATAACAATCTCATTGTCTCTCAATAAGTAATATAAAAATTGTATTATGATATTCTTTAATTAAGCATAAATATTTGTATGAAATTTTAATTAATAAATATCAACTTTATTATTGTATGGTTATATTCATTTGAAGCAATATATTAATCAATGTTCATATTTTAGTGAATAATATTATTATTATACCTTTAATATTGCCAGCGTCTACATGAGCGGGAGGGGTAGGAATAGTTTGCATCCTATTTTTTTGAGGGGGTAGGCTGCTTTAATGGGGACATGATAAATTTTTTGGGGGGTTATCTATTAAATTTTGAGATGAAATAGGCAAAATTTATTGCTGTAAAAATTAATACTTTTGTTATAGAAATATTATAATACAATTATCGACCAAATCTATATATTGCAAACAATTATACACATTGTTTTCCAAATAAAACTTTCTGCTATCCTTTTTAATTTAAAAGGTTTAGAAGCAAGCTCATAATGCCATAATAATTAATTCATTATAAATAAGGTTTTAATTGAATTTTTTATCTAAAAAAAAAATTATTTATATTCACAAAATATCGATAGTTGGTAGTAGAGATAGATTAATTTAAGTTATCCTTATAAATTCTCTGAAAGAGTGTTAATATAATTATAAAGGTGAAAATAATAATAAAGAGACACCGGCGCCGAAGGTGGCGTGAATTATTTAGGGGGGTAGGCAAAGGTTTTTGAAAAAGGTTTGCATCCAATGATCCTGTCATGTAGACGCTGAATATTGCATATAATTTTTTTTACTTTTTAAATCAATTAAGTAGAGTGCGTACGCTCTCCTTATGAAAAATATGATAATAACAAACAAATATTTGTTTTTATTTTATTTATAATTTCAACTCACTTTTTATATAAATCCTAGAAATGATTAAATTCAAAGTTTCTACGAGTAATCAAATATATTATGACTAGGGCGATGTTATAACAATATTGTTGGAGCAATTGTGGCCAATAGTATTGTTAAAAAGCCCGATTTAGGTCCATTTTTAAAAACAATCCGATTATGATTTTGTCTAAATTAATATTATATAGGCCTAGATATTTGACAAATAGATGTCCGAACCTTTTTGTAATCTATGAGCAAAGCCTCCAGGTACATAATATTATTTTGGCTAATATTTTAATCGGGCGGTTTTGAAATTGAAATCAGGCTTTTTACCAACACCAGTGGCTGATTATATTAATTATTTATTGTTTCATAATCGTGACCAATTTATTATAAGCTGCTGATGCCATTCTATATTAAGCTTTTATTTTTTGTTTCAGTTGCGTGTAAAATTTAAACTTTATTGCCGAATACCATTTTATCATTCATGGTAATTGTTATATCTTTTAAAAGATTTCATTTTTTTTATTATATTCTCTTACTAAAATTTAAAATTCTTTTTTGTATTATCAACCTCCCGGTGGGTAAAATTATAGATGTATAATAAGAAACTGGGTGCCTAATTTTGTTAAAATGTTTGTTAATATAAATTATTAGCTGATTTGATGTTCAGGCACGCTCTGAGCACAAACCTCGATTACAAACCTGGACAAACTACTCCAGCTCAACCCCTGAGCACAAATCCTTATCATACCGGATTCCAAAATCCATAGTAAAATGTTCGAGCAAACCTAAAGCATGAATCTCGAGTATAAAGCGGAACAAACCCAAAAATTAAAAAATTAATTTTTATTTGAGTTTTTTAAGAAATAAAAAAAAGAAAAAAACACGCATAATCTTTTTTAAAAAATAACCCAATTGCAAAATATATATCTCCCAAAATTTTCTAGTCTCATACTCTAAAATTTAGAATCTCGTGTCTAATATAAATGGGTAATTGTTCCATTTTTAGACCTTTTAATTTTTTATATTTATCTTAACCCCGATTTTCGCCGACTAGGTTATTTTACCGACTAAGGTTATTTTACTGTATAATTTTTGCCTCAGACTTTGGATTTTATTTATTTTAAAAAATGTAAAATGCTTCCCGGATTTACTTTGGCTTGAGCAGATTCCTATTATAAAATTATGTCAAAAAATCATACCATTATTATTATGAAAATACATTTTAATCCTTATATTATTTATTTTTTTAACTAGATTTGGAATAATTTTAAGCATATATCATAAGAGGTAAAAATAATGCTTGTAAAAAATACTAAATTGAATTGATGGATGTATAGGATATCGCTTTTGACAAATACTTCAGATAGAAATTTTGAAATCCCTGTTTCCCAACCTCATAGGATTTTCCAACCCAAACTTATCATTCTTTTTATTGTGGATCGCTCATTTGCTAAAATCCTGAAGAAAATTTTAATATATTGTAAATCAATCTCAATGCCAAATGCCAAAAGAATTAATTAAACAAAATAAGCAATTAAATTTAGAAAAAATTAAATCAATCCAGATAGTTTGACAAAATTTATGATATATATTCAAAAACATAATTTTATTTTATTTGAGTTTATATATAACTTTACAAACTATTTTCTTGTGCCATGCACAGTTTTTCTGTCAATTGTTAAATCGTCCAGCTTTGGTCATTTTGATTTCATTTGATGTTTCTAGATTTGATGTATGCTCCACATAAGGACAGTGCATATACTTATCGTTTCCCGCTTGATATTTAATTATATAATTTAAGATCTATGTACGTTTTTATCCCACTAATCGATCATTTTAATTTCGTTAGGTCTATTTATACTAAATATTCTTTAAAGTGGTTTATGGTCTGTTTAAATAAAATTTCCTTTTATACGTATAAAATATTAAGGTGACCGCTTCATGGTCTATAGAAGTCTAGGATTTTTCCGCGATTGCTAAAGTTCGGAACGCATGAGCAATAAAAAGTTCCCCCCAATCGGTACTATATGATAACCACCCTAACCCATTTTCTGAGTCGTCAACTGTTACCCTTACTAGCGTTTCTGTATTGTAGGGGGTTAAAGTATCTTTGTTAGTTAATATGCATTTTATACTGAAATACATTTTATTCTTTCACAGTCCAAATCCATGGAACCTTGTTACTTTAGTTTATTTATATGTAGATCTTTTAGATATTTTTGTTGAAAGGAAGCCAAGAAAAGCTTTTAGCTCCTTCATATTTAAAGGGATGAATTTTTTATATATCCATACTTCAATTGTAGCTTGTTTTTTTGTGTCAACGTGTAATATTTCTAAACTAACGTTGCACAGTTTTTGGTATTGCCGTCTTTTACCGTGTTGAAATCATATTGCATTATAAGTGGACATGTATTGGTAGTAAACTTTTACCACATCTAAAACATCTACCTTTCTAATTATTACTAGATCCCTGTCAGTCATTTCCATAATTTTTATAGAATATTTTCTTATTATTATCATATATTTATTTATTTATTATTGTATTTTCTATTATTATCATTAGTGTTGTTAAACGACTCGATTTGGGTCTATTTTTAAAACGGCCCGATTAAGATTTTAGACAAAATATTATGTAAACCTGGAGATTTTGCTCATAGATGGCAGTAAGGTTTAACATGTATTTGCCAAAATGCGGATTATATAAAATTATTTTGGCTAATATCTTACTCAGGCCGTTATCCTTATAATTGTTTTTGTAATTATCATTAAACTTATTTCTATTATGATAATTTATAATCTCTAAATTTCTATTATTATATAAACATTATTGTTTTATTATCCTTTTTTCCTCACCGTTTAATTTTTCTTATTCTTTAGTATTGTTTAATTCTTTATAGACATTGATAGTGTTACGATATCTTGAAATGTGATCATATTAACCTCTTCAATCTTAGAGTCAGTCTACCTGGTTTGGACTTCATATTCTAGTTATTGTAATTTAATTCCAACAATCAGGGCTTTGAACCGTTAAGTATAGCTGCTCGGTTCATTTCCGTTTTTAGCTAAATATTTTATAAAGGTTTTGTTCTATTTCGTTTTTTTAAAGAAATTCATATCTGTCCGGTTTGGTTTCGAATTCACAACTGTTCTTTTTGGTTCGTTCCCGTTTTTATAAATTTGATTTTTTAAAATAATTAATCATTAATATTTATCTTAGAGAAAAAACTTTTTAATTTATATTTTTATAATTACTTATTTAATATAATCTTGAAGATTATCGGTTCGCTCTGGTTTCGCAGTTCGATTCGGATTGTTGTCTTGAAACAGCAAAGTTGATAATTTTCTTTTATAGGAATTATAAAATTAATTTTGTATAGTTTTATTTTCTTCTTTAATCTATAAAATTTTAAACTAACAGAGAACACACTTTTTGTTGTATAAATTATTATTTTTTACTGGAATTCAGATTTTAATTCTTTATATTTTATTTTCTCTTAGGATAAAAGTGATTTCTTATTCTAATCGTGTTATTAACCCATGTTGAGGCGAATATATTTTATAACTTAATATTAATATTATTTTATGATTTTTCTGCAAATATATTTTCTACCAGGAATATATATTCTTGTATATCATAAATTTAATATAATTATGGTAAGTTCATGCAAGAAAAAGAGAAAAATTTATTTAAGAATTTATTTATCCCAACCTCGTAGCCATTTTATAATAATTTAAATATATAATTTTATTTCAT